TCAGGAGCCAGCCAAACCCCTGACCAGCAGCCCCTGCCCCATGCCAGGCCCTGCTCTGCTCTCTCAGACAGCCCTGGCCCTGGCCAGTCTCAGGACACTGCCTGACCACCATGCACATGGCCTGCACTCGGGGCCCGAGCGGAGGGTGCCCAGGGTCCACTTGTTCACCCTCACAACAGTTCTTACAGGACACACGTACTCTGTGATTACCTTACAGGTGAGGAACTCATGCTGGGTTGGGGGCTAAGTACTTGTTCAAGGCATGAGGGGGTGGGGGGCGTAGGGTCTCCTGGTCTCCCCTCCAGGTACACACCCAGACAGGCAGACTCCCAGACAGACACACAAAATCAGGTAGACAGGCAGACACAGACAGACAGACACACACACACACAGAGTCAGGCAGACACATGCAGACACACAGACTCAGAGATGCAGACACCCAGACAGGCAGACAGACACACAGACACACACAGACAGGCACACAGACACACACAGATAGACACACACGTGGACACAGACTCACACACACAGACACTGACACGCAGACATACACCCAGACAGACACACACAGAGACAGGCACACAGACACACACAGGCAGGGAGACACACCCAGGCACACACAGACAATGACACGCAGACATACACCCAGACAGGCAGATACACACACACGCACACACAGGCACGCACACAGAGGCACACACACAGGCACGCACACACACAGGCACACACAGGCACACACACAGGCACACACACACACAGAGGCACACACACAGGCACACACACAGAGGCACACACACAGGCACGCACACACACAGGCACACACACAGGCACACACAGGCACGCACACACACAGGCACACACACAGGCATGCACACACACAGGCACACACACAGGCACACACACACACAGGCACACACAGGCACGCACACACACAGGCACACACACACACAGGCACACACAGGCACGCACACACACAGGCACGCACACACACAGGCACACACACAGGCA